CCCACAGCCTGGTATCAGCAGTGGCTGTCTAGGCAGGCTGAGGATTATAATAGCCAGTGATGTGGACTCCAGAGAAGTGATAAAAGCCTTCTTCCAAAGTAGGCTTTGGAACCATCAAACACATGAAATGAAGTAAGAATTTGTCTCCCTGACAGGATTAATACCACAAGTTTATAAACCACTCTAAACACTTATTTAGAAGACTAAACCATCCCTGAATTGTATCAATTGCTGCCGTAGCCTTTCATGGATTCACTGAAACTCTGAAATCCACGAAGCTCCTCAAGACAACCAAAGAAAGGCTCTCCTCACCAACACAGAGCTACTGAGGAAAGAGTTTAATATGGAAATGAGGTGAAAAGCTCAGCTTCTCCTCTACATATAAGATTAAATTGCACAGCCAGAAACAGCTGCTGGAGCTCAACAGGAAAATCCAACATTTGAAAAACAGTGGCTCAAAAAGATAGGGAGTGGGGAAGTCAATATTTACAACACACTCATTTCAACTTAACAGTTAAAGAAATCGGGAGGCAGAGTGGGGAGGGGACTAAAATCATTTACTTCACAAAATATTCTAGCCCTCTTTCACCTGAAAAAATTGCAATTCCGAGTTGTAGAACAGCACAGGTAAAATCAGTATTAATTAATTACATTTAACTCCTGAGTACCAGAATCATATAATTTTGTAATCCAGACTACCTGATCTTTCTCCCCCAACTGAAAAATCTATACTTTGAGAATCAGCAGGATAATTTCTTACCTTCCATTCTAGAAGCAAAGCAAGCTACAACACTGTGTCCCCTTTGTGGTGTTACTCCCACCTTACAGCCAGATTTCACACAGTCAGACAAACTCTTCACTATCACACTTGCTAGACTTAGAAAAAGGATTTTAACACAATCAAAACAATAATTCAGGTCTCTTTGCAAGGTATGCATTTTAAGACTAATATTTAGTAATCCTGTCAGCATTTATTTAAGGTAAAGCCTTGGAGCAGAAATTTACAGTCATTTTAGCTGTCTGTTGCTACAAACACACATTTCTCTAAATCAAGGGAAACAATTAAACATGTTACTGCTTACCTCTAGCAGGTGTTACCCCTACATGAATATCAAAACCCAGGATTAAGACACAGCCATAGTGTGTGTCAATACAGCAACAAAACCCCCAAAAGCCAGCAATTAATTATTTCCTATCAGCCTTTCAGCAGCTTTGCCATTATATTATCCCCACACATTTGGGATACAAAGCATTTATTCCCTGTTTGCTCAGAGAACAGATAAAATAATTATTTTGTTTGCTTTCTGAAGTAAGACATCATACCTTAAGTTGAACATCTTATGCACAAGATTAGCAGATTCAGGAGACTTCACACAAGGAAACAGGCTTTTTTCACACTTTTCAGACAAAGAGACAAAAATGTATTTTATAGTGCCACGCTTACTAATCCCTCACAAAAAACTGCCTGAAATACCAGTAGCACAATACAAAACCAAGTAACTCTCTCTGGCAGAGTTAAAACAGAAATACAAAGCCTCTGAAGGTATGACCATTCACCTTTTATCTAAAAACAGACTTGAAAAAAAGCAAAGACAGACTTACCCACCAACCTACCTCTAGGAACACACTGCTACACCCTACAGCAGGGGAAGGAAAGGCATCTTCAGAGCTGCTGTGCAAAGGCTCCTTAAAGGAAGCAGGGTCACCTGGCCCAGTGGTGGGGCTGCTAATGAAGTCCAACTACATCCTCCAGGGCTCCAGGTGATGATTCCCTGGGGAATTGGCTTGCACTTCATGTCGCTGTTCAAATCAGTGGAAGTGGAGTAAAAGGAGATGAAAAAAGCCACTTTTGGAGCAGTTGTATTTTGCACCCATATTTGCCATAAAAAATGTCCATGTAAGATGGAAAACCAGCAAGGAAAGGCATTTTTTGCAAGGTTTTCCTCAGATTTCTATGGCCTCAGTTGCCTTTGCTGATATGCCACAGCCCCGTGGTTTTTAACACAATTGGTTTTACTTGCCTCCCAAAAGAGGAAGGGAAATTGCTCTGAATTTGTTTATTGGGAAAAACTGTGCACCTTCTCCTGCACCTTCTACATGGAAGTGTTTGAAAGAAAACCAGGAGCAAGAAGAGACAAAAAAAAGTGGGTAATAGTCAAGAATGAAAAAAAACCACATTCCTCTAGCCTCCTAACATCACTGGAATGCCAGGACACCTCTTAAATAATAGCAAACATTATCAAATGGAAGAGGACATCAAGGAAAATGGGAATTTGAATGAATAGCTGCAGAATTGAGAACATGAGTTACCAGTTGTGCTCTGCACTGGGACAATCTCAGTCAGACCAGATTCATGTATTGCCACAAAACTGAGGGCTGATCTCTGCTGGCACAAAGGTTTCTGGATAGGTTTCCAGGCAAAGTCCAGGGCTCCTGGCACACAGTTCCCCAGCATGGCTTATGTACTGAATTAAATAAAATGCATTTTCACATCCCATTTAACTGGGTGTACCCAAACATGGTAACCCTAACCCTAACTAGTCAAAGAAATTTGAGAAACCACAACCATTGAATTTTTTTTGCCAAGTGCTAAGGTAAATGTTTTTTGTTCAAAATAAGGACTTGCTATCCCCCTGTTATGTTAGCAGTCTTAAAATTGCTAACGAAAACCCAAAGAAATATGGCTCTGAGACCCATCTGTTGTTGCTACAAGTGGAGTTCTTGAAATGTTTGTGTGTACCACTGATGGATTTAGTCTGCAGCTTTGACACCATCATAACCTTTTGTTCCATAACTCATGGACAATTTTGGGCTCCCTGAAGCTTCCATAGTAAGGCAGCTGCCACAATTGCCAGTGAGTAAAGCAGTAAAACTAAGTAAGCCCCCTTTGACTGAAGAAGGTGCTGAAAATTATCTTGCTGTGGTTTGCAAGGGCTCAGTGGCTCTTTAGCAGCTTTGAAACAATCCTCATCTGTAGAGAATTTCTCTATTACAGTCCTGCAAAGGATGAGCCTTAAGGAGGTGCTGCCATCCCTGTGAGCCACCTCTGCTGCTTTCCTATAGCCCTGTGTGCTCCTCAGCTGCAATTTCCAGCATGGCATTCTGTCCCAAAGGGACACATACCATCAGTATGAATACTGAACTCCATTTAACCTTCTATTTCCCAGCTTGGGTTTCTATTTTAATTAACTTGCCATCTTTGTGCTTAAAAAAGCCTCTATGTATATTTGTATGTTTATTTATATATATGTTTGATATACTGGCTTTTTTTGACCTTTTACACCAGGTATCCATCTATTACATTCTTTATAAAATCTTTTCATATATATTTTGATATTTCCCATGCTATGACTTTTCACATGGGCTCTCTGCTTTCACAAAAACTCACTCTGGAGCTTTTCCAGCATATGAGTCCTTTTCTACTTTAACACCTGCTTCAGTCACCTCTCAGTTAAAGGCTGAATTACATTTGCACTATATAAGGCAGTGCCCTTATTTTAACTCTATCTTTCAAAGAACAGCCTCTCTCAGATCATTAAGACCTGAATAATAATGTGATGATTAATAGATATGGTACTAGTATGGTCTCAGTTTCATCCAGAAGAATAAATAGAACTAGCTGTTCAGGAAAAGGAGAAATCCAGTGGGAAATAAAGACAACTGCTGTGACATTTTTCTTCGAAAACAGCATGTTCAGAAATAGAAGCTGCATGCATCCTCGGGACTTTTTTAATTTTGTGACATGCTGCAAACATAAGGGGTTAGCAGGCAGAAAAGCCAAGTGAGCTGGGTGAATATCCAAACAGAGAAATCTGCCAAAGGGAACAAACAGAGCTGGAATTGTGGGAAAACATGTGTTTTGAAGTAAACACCATACTAAGCCAGTGGAAGAGGTACTGATCCCCACACAAGTGACAGCAGTAAAGAGAGAAATGCTTAAAAAATTTGTCTTTAGTTAAAGGATTCAATAGCTTTCCAGACTGTGAAATACAGGGAAAGTATCTCTCTGGCAACTGATTATCTAACCTTGCTACCACTGTCCTGTTCTTGAGAATTCCCACTTGGAGTGACCTACTGCTCCTGTGCACCTTGGCACAGTAATCCACCAAGTGGGTGTTTATAAGTTCCTTTAAGGAATCAGAGAGATCATCTCCAAAGAAATCTGAATTCCCATTATTCCAGTTATTATATAACCACATTAAACACAACAGGTGTCTTCTGATCAGTCTTCATATGGTACCTCCTTTTTTTGTGGGGGAGAATCACAACAGGCTTGGCATGTGGAATGGCACGGGAGCTTGTGGAGCCACAAAACCCTTCTGTCACCCACCAGAGCTGGGGGCAGCAGAAAGGAAAACATCAGGAGCTCCACACTGCGGGGCCAAGGAAAACTGGAGCTCACCTCCACAGGAATGGACAGGTCTGTCCATTCTTTCCCTGTCAGCAGCCTAAAAGGAACCTGCTTTCAGTCTTTATATGAATTTTGGTCCCTTTCTCTCCTACCTTCACTGCTTGAAATGGGGCTGGCCAAGCTGCTTCTCTGGGGAGTGTTTTCTATTAAGCAGCTCTCTGCAGGCTTTTGAGTCAATGGAGATGACATGGAAAAACAAAGAAGACAATTTAGAACATATGATATCTAGAAATACAGTATCTTAAAGAAATCTACACCATGGAAATAATTGCAAATTAAACGAAAGTACCTGGGGTTTTGGTAACACTGCCATTCTTGTCAATGGAAAAAATACAATCTTTTCAGTTTATTACTACTGTGGTCAAACCCAGCAGCATCCAGAAAGCAAATGCTTCCAATGACAATCTAACAAAAAAATAACAAATGACCATAGATAAGATTTGCATGGCCTTTCTAACTCAGACTCCAAGCCATGATAGAACAGGAAAACTGAATTCAGTTCAAGTTTCAGCATGTCTCTTCTGTCCCCACGTCTGTCTGCCCACTTAGAATGTTAAAAAAAAAAAAAGTCAACAAAAGGTCAATAATATATAATCTAATATGTTTTAATTTTATGTACAGGAATATAACGTTATGGCAACTTTGTACATGAAATACATACAGTATTTAAACATGAAGATCAGCTAGGTAAGAATTTACATTAGCAATTAAACTGCCTCATGTGCAGCCCAGTTAATACTTAGTTTAAATCTGTATTTAATTAGGGGGGAGATTTTAATAGTTTACAATCATAGAAACAAAAACATTTAAAACAAGACTCTATAAAATAATTTACAGAAACCCTACCATCTACACTGAGAGAAAGGGCATATGTCTGTGAGCTGTGTGTGTGAGTAACAAGATGAACAAATGACATATCTCAGCCTCTTAAAGTATAAAATAATTTAGAAGCAGTTCATGCAATATGAAAGCAAAGGCGTGCCAGCTCCTCCGAGGTTTTCTGCTACCTTGGACATCTACTGAGCATCACATGTGGGTCACTGGACACATGATAACACCACTGCCAGGTGCTACCAGACAGCACCAGGCTCAGTTCCTCCAGACAACTACTTATGTAAACAAATATACAAGTTGATATCTTTTCTACACAGTACAAATACAGGTCACAACTTCTCTGCTGTGCAAGTAGTCCATCCCTATACTGAGAAGCAGGATAATGCTCAGTCTGGAGTTCCCTGTGTTCCTCTGTCCAGGGGCACTAACAGAACTTCCTTGTTTTCACCAGTTTGCTCTGGTATTTCACCGAGTGCCCGCCGTGCCCTATCACGTAAACATCCAGCAGGTAGGACTTGCCAGGCTGCAGGCCTCTGATTGTCTCTGTGGTCACTGCTTTCTGGATGTTCTGGCTGTGGAAGTATTTACACAGAACCTTTTCCGACTTCTTCCTCGTGTCTGGACCCAAGCACTGGTTCTGCTCTCTTTTCTTCTGCTCTTCATTGTAATTTTCATCCACTTCCCTCTTGTAGATGCAGAATTTGTTCCTCTCCTGCGTGCCCAGCCACGCCACGGTGACCGAGGAACACGTGCGGAGCTTGTCGAAGGCTTTGATCCGTGTGTCTTCGGGAAGAGATGGGAACGACTGCTTGTTAGGCCTGGTTGTAGCCAGGATCTTCAGCATGGAAGCACCTTTCTTGCTGCCCTTCAGCCTAATAAGGTATTTCGCTTTTGCTTTCCCCCGGAGCTGGAACTGCCGCACGCCCTCCACACTTTGAGACAAGAGGAGTTTTCCATCCCTCCTAACTTGGATCTGAACAGCATCCAGGCAGGAATGAATGGAAAAGGTGACTTTTTGGTGAGATGAAACAGGGGCAAAACGTAGAAATTTGACTCCCTTTCTTTTGATAAACACATCTGTAACTTTGCCGTCCTTCAGGTCAACTGTTTTCTGCTTCGCCTCCTCCTTGGTCCTGGCAAAGGTGCCGACATAGGCGGTGCTCATGTTGGTGTTGGTGTTCACTGCAAACATGTCAAAGTAGTACTGCGTGTCTGGCTTCAGGTCAGACACGGTGAAGATGTTCTTGTTCCCAATACAAACTCTATGCAGGTCAACTCTCGGCTTTGGGGACGTTTGCCGCCCAAACTTGGATGATTTTAGGAAACCACGTTCTTTGCCAGAGTTGTTGTCTGCAGGGAAGCCAAAATGGGCGAAGTCAAAGGGACTGAAATCCAGACCCGGCTTTGGAGCCATCATGAAGGCATCGTCAGAGCTGAGCTTGGCTTCGACAGCACAGAGGCTTTTGAAGTTGTGCTCTTTGTTGATGACTATGCAGTACTGGATGGGCTGTCTCAGTAAGGAGGCCGTGGGGCTCGGTTTCCACGCCAGTGTCACCGTCGTACGTCCCAGAGAGGTGACATCGATTCTGGGATCATAAGGTAACTCAGGATAAGGCTGGTCTGACTCTGGAGTCGTGGTTGCATACACTTTAAAATGGGTGTCTTTCTCTGTCGACAGCAGATCCAGCTGGTACAGCCCAGAGGGGGAACTAGAGGACACAAAGTACTCCACGTCGTTGCCTTTGTAGGAGAAGAGCTCCGTGCCTTCCTCACTGGTAATCTGCTGCTTCTGTTGCTCAAGGGGCTCTGGATCACCTGGAATACATACAGAAAAAAACATTTCTACAGACACTCTCTGCAAATATGAAAAAAACAAAACTCTTAACAGGCACATTTTACAACATAAAATACAAACACGGGAGATGGAAAAGGAAGGTTTTGTCTTCTGAGGAAGATGTAATTGATCAACATTTCTGTCAAAACAGAGAGGAAAAATGGTTTGCTGCTCAGGTTAAACCCAGCCATAAAAGAAATTCCACCTGACAATGGAATCTCATGAGTGGTAGCTAACACCTTCCCCTGCAGTGTCAGGCATCCACTTGGAGTTGCCATGCAGTTTTCCCCAGGGACACTCACTCACCTGCCTGTTCCTGGTTGTGGGCCCTTGGCTTTGGCCATCTGAGTCACACTAAAATTTTGTTGCTAAACACAGTGGGGACCAGAGGTATGTCTGCCATACCATGTGGTGTGTGTGACAGTTCAGCACATGTGTCAGAGGCTCTGGCAGCCCTTTTCTCTCCTGAGTGGCAGCTACACTGCTCCGTGTCTGGAGATGAGCCCCTCCATGGGATGAGTTCAGTCCTGCTGCAATGCCAGCCCTGTCTCCCCAGTTCTTACAATGTGTAAACACCTCACAGCAAAGCCCCCATCAAACAGAGTCACTCTGGGCAAACAATTTTCTCTGGCAGCATCCAGACCCCTGTGACTGTAACCTTAGATTTTACTTCTTTGTTGTCCTTTTCCTTTTCGTGTTGCTGCCTGTTGTCAATCTCCTGAACTGGAAGATCGAAACAGCAGAAGATCATAAAGACAGGCCTGCTGCGAGACTCAGTGTTTGAGGAACCTTAAATCCTGGAGAAAAGCAGGGAAGGGGACAGGGGAAATCACTGATTCTTTGTTACCTGATCCTTCCCCACTGGCTTCCTCTGGGAGTTCCTGCACACTCAGTTTCCACTCCAGAGGGGCATCACACGGTGTCACCGTCACTGCTAAGGGAGTGTTGTCCTCTTCAACCACAAAGAAGTACCTAGAGGGAGGTTAACAGACCCACATGTCAGGAACTCCTGATGGCAGCCAGCTGGCAGGGATTGACTTGACATGATTAGGGATGGTCTCCGTGGGGCCACAGAGCCAGAGTGTTATCAACAGGCAGAGGGAGTGTGGCAAGGCTGGTGGGACAGATCTAAGGAGCAGGGCTCACACTTCTGTGTCACAGCAGAGCTAAGGGCTTTCTGGCCACCTGCCCTCCCCTCCAGCAGCTTTACTTTCTACCTCTATACTAACTAGATATAAATAATCACAGAGATATAAATGAGGGAAACAGGATCTCTCCTGGAATTTAGAGAGAAGCTCTTCCAAGCAGGACATACATTTTATATTGTACCCAGGTGAGCACATAGAGACACACACACACCCAGCTGCCCTCCCACATCCCTCCAGGCACCACACGTCACCTATTGTAAAATGTTCCTTGCCAATGAAGGCTGGAGGAACTATGTGATATGAGGCAATGCAGCTCTTCCCTAAACTCTCTGGGATCCTCAGGTTCTTCCCCAGTCTAACCCTCAGTATTTTCTGACCCATAAGGTGGAGTTTGGGAAGTGGGGAGTTCAGACCAGGCTGTCTAACGCTGCTTCTTTAAAGCACAGTAGGGAACAATAAAGAGGGACAAGAGTGGTGGGTCAAGTCTGTAATTTCTAATTTCCTTCCCTCTCCCATTGCCTCTAGACATGGTTTGTGGCCCCACTTCAGGGAAATTCTGCAGTCTGGGGGACCTCTGGGCTTATCCCAGAAATCAAATAAATTGGACAGACCCTCAGTTGGGGAGGCCAGATTGGGCTGGAGGCTCATGTGTTTACTTCACCAAACAGAACACTGGCATTTGTGTTTTTCTGGTTGGGATCCAATTTTTATCTCAAAGCACCCAGCAACCAGAGCTACTGTCTTCAAAGTTCAGCTTCCTCACTTGGGCCAGACAGAAATACCTTTTGGGGGTGTCTCGGAAGAGGTAGCTGCTGATTTCAGCTCCATCAGGGATGACTGAGGAGTCGTGGAAGAACGCCTTGTCCCGGATCTGCATCTGGAAGAGCTCCTCATCCCTGGTGGGCAACTTCTGGGGCCTGGAGTCGAGCGGCAGCAGCAGCAGCAGGAGCGGCAGCGGGCAGCGCAGCAGGAGCATCCTGCAGCAATGACAGGGAGTCCCAGCTCAGCGGGGGCACCACGTGCAGCTCGTCTGTGCTGGAACGTGGGCACACTTACAACAACCTGACATGCACTTTGTGTTTTGCAGGCACCTTCACTGCCACACAAATGGCAGGAGAACTCGCTGTAAGGACTGAGCTCACACTGTCACAGCACTTGGATCAAGGGTGTCACCAAGATTTTCCCATCCTGAGCTGTGACTGAATGAAGCAAGCCCAGGTTTCAAACTGAAATCGCTACCAAAGAGCAAAAGCCTTCCACATGCTTTGGTGAGCTACACTTTGATGTTTTGCACAGAGCAGATGGAGGGTACATCGGCTTTGCTTCCCCTAGGAGACCTTGGTTGAGTGTCCAACAATCCTCTGGAAAGTAAATATTTCCAGTGAAACTGTTCTTGACAAAAATAGTGAATTAGGAAAACATGTGATACAAACCCACACATATTCAAAGCACTTGGGTATTAGCATGCAATTCAGCAGGGCTTAATCCTCAAGCCTGATGGGAATTGCAAAACACAAAAGCAGAGAATCCTTTACAAATTAGGCATAATAATTCATAATCTCAGCCTTTCATTATTATGTCTGTAACTAGGTCAGAAATTACTACCCTAACATATACACTGGGACAGGCTGGAAATCTCCTTTCAGTACAGTAGATGATCTCATCTTTAATGGCTCTGGGATGGGGTGGGGGGGAAAGGGGAAACAGCCCATTTCTGGTATATCAAGTTTAAATTATTAAATGATAACCATTTTTAATTCGGAGAATGGAAAAAAAAAGTTTAGGCCATTATCTAAACTGCGTTAGCACCGATTTGGGGAGAAACATGGTGAAAAGCTGAGCTGGCAGGAACAGTTTTATCTTGTCCCTTGGCTGAGTGTGCAGTCATGCACTGCTCTGGGTACTGCACTGTGAAGCAGCTACTACCTTATAGCAAACTCTTCCTTTTACCTTTAAGATCAAATCTGTTGCTGAGATAGTTCTTTTTCCCACCACGCCTAATATTTTATGTAAAAGTAGCAAACATAAAGCTCCTTGAGAAGTGGCACATTGTAGTCCAAGGCATACTAACAACTGCTTTTCCTAATCCCTCTCCCTGCTGCCTCCAGCTCCCCTTCTGCCTGTTCTGCTCTCAGGACAGCTAAACACAGCCACCCACATGCTGCCCAGCAGGGCTTCTGACATCAGCAAGGCTGTGGAGAGCTATTTTCACCCTCATTTTGCTTCCTCTGCCTCTGACATTTTTATTTAATCATTCCTTCCACCAACATGCAGGTCTGCCCCACTCACCCCTCCTCTCTGCTCTCCCCTGAAATCAGCTCTTTCCCTCCCCCCTTTCTACTGTTTTCTCCAACTCCTGCTGTCCAGCTCAGTTCCTTCATCTTTCTATTTTCCCATTGAAACTGGTGATGGGAGAGGGAAAAACACATGGCAGACTCAGCAGTATCCATGAGCCAGGAGTGATGTGCACCCTCACAGGATCATTGTTGTCATTTGGGATTGTTTAATGACAGCTTACTACAGTGCTCTGCTCTACAGAAAGGAAAAAGGAGTCCAGGGCTTTACCCAACACATGTAATTGCTACCTAGAGGTAAATCCTGATTTAGCTTTCCCAGCTTTTGTCAAAATTTATCCCAAACGGGTCCTGAGTTAGTTTTTGATGACAGTGGATATAGTTCCTCCAATTCAGACTGAAGTGTTGATACTTACCAGTGAAGTTAAAGACATTTGACCTTTTGGAGCAAAGATCATAAGTCAAAATATTTGCTGGCTTGAGTCACCAAAGCCAGCAGAAAGCCCCTCTCACACAAAGCACGATGAGTTTTGTGTGCTCTAACACGCTGTTTATTGATTTTTCAAGTATTATTGTTGGCCAACAGGGATAAAATTCCTTCCAACTTAATCACAACAGTTACAGCAGATTATTTGGTTAGGTAAGAAACTCTGACGCTTTCTGCAGACAGCGTCCTCCACATGAACCCCCTGAAACTGCAATCCTGTGTATTCCCATAGTCAGTTCCAGCACAATGTAACCTCTACTAAAATAAACCATTTTGATTATAGGCTAAGCTTCACTTCTTAAATAATTTCACTAGCTAATGCACGTTAAAAACTCCCATAAACACTGTTTCTGTCCCCCTTAACAGCTACAGAGCAGTGACAAGGTACAGATTAATCTCCAATTTCTTTATCTAATTGTAAAAGCATTTTGGCGTAAAAATAACTCCAAAAAGACACATTAAATTTAGTTCAATATCCCTGCCCATCCCACACATGAAATACCTTGCAGAGTTGTCAACTGTTACTGAAAAAGGAAACTTTTATAATCTCTGTTCTTTGACAAATTATTGGAATTTTGGGTGCTTTCATTTTCATCTATCTAACCTCAGAGGCTTAAAATGGCTTAACATTTTCATGCATGACACTTCCAAAAGTGGGACAACAGCAAAGAGGCATCCAAACCTCACTCACAGTTTTTGGGAGCTGTGCTGTCAGTGTTACACTACCCTTTCACACCAGCTAATAAAAAGATTTTAGATTTTGCAGCGCACTCATTATAATTTGGCGGGGTTTCAAACTAAATCCTCTGTAGTTTACTCATGCAAAACATCAAGAGCAAAGCAAAAAGCCCATTTATTCATCCCATGTTTGTTTCTGGGGAAGCTCACCAGTGACTTTGACAGAGTCCTTCAGAAAATGCACTTGCTAGATGTGAGCCTGTGAATTCCTCCTCTGCCACCCAGCCTTCAGAAACTCCCAAAACCAAATTTTCTTGTCTTGGATTCGTTTTTAGAAGCCAGGTCTAAGCACTGTGCTGCTAAGCCACACAAATTACATAAAATACATTGTGTGATTTTTTTTTTGTTCTCTAGGCTGTGCTGCCTCCTTAAATGTCTTGTATTCCATTTTCTACAAGTTTGTCTTGTTTTCTTTTCTTTTAAACTCTGAGTCAATATTTTATTGATATATTCCTGCTGACTGGAGGGATTTTCCTGCTGTTTATCACTGAATTTAAGAGAGTGCCAAAATAAACAGTCCTAAGTGAAATAATAAGCACGTTTTCCTTCTCCAGGATTGCAAAAGTGCCCTCTAATGGCCCGTCTTTACCTTTCACTTCTTCCCCAAATTCTGTCTCAACTGAGCCTTAAACCCAGAGGGAAAAGTCCTGCTGGCTGACTGACCTGGGGAGTCAGACTGAGCAAGGAGCATCCGGAGTGTCCCTTCTCCTCCCAGGCAGGGCTGCTCCCAGGGGACAAGGCCACTCAGTTTTGCCTGCCAGGCACCAGGACACTGAACCTGAGCAGGCTGAGGGATGCCAGGGCAGGTGGCCAGGGTTTCCTTGGATTTGAACCTGGAATGTGGCAGTGCCATTCCCAGGTGAGCAGCTCCCAGGCTACACAAACACTGCAGTAGCAAGAGCCACACCTCAGGAGACATTTGCTTAATGAACCCAGCTGTATTTACCTGAAAAGATCAACAGATGAAAAATACATGCTGCACATTGGAAAGGGAGATACATGATTTTAAACACTTTAAAATTCACAACCTTGCCAGAAGCTTGAGGCTTTTTTCTTCTTTCACAAAGTAGAAATAACCGTTTTATAAGTGGCATTTTATAAACTTGAATTATAAGCACGTACATGAAAATAATCATTAAGTCAGGTTGTGGGTTTTATGACAATTACAATTAATTCCTATCTTTTTAATAATCTCCTTACCCAACATTTCCAAAATCTCACCTACAAAAGCCCTATATAGCCTTCTGTCCTGCCTTTAAGACCTCCAGGTAACAAAAACTCCATCTGCAAATGCCCAGGTAAACTGCAATTAGAACCAGAAATGGAGAAGATAATGGGATTTACAGCTGGCTCAGGTTCTGAGTCAAAACACAAATTAGCTTGAGCTGTGGCAGCACCTCATGGGGTTTTCACACAGGCTCAGCAGAGTGGGCACATCCTCAACCCAAGCCAGAAACAGGTGGCCTTGGGGACAAATGAAATCACCACATTCTTGATTTCCCTGCTCAAGCCTACAGTATTTTCTTACTGACTCTTTTTGCCAGCACTGAAACATGGCTGTGTGGGGTATGCTCTGTAAGGGATCAGAGGCTCCCTGCCTATCCCACCACGGAAATCCCACCCTGCAAGCCAAGAATCCATTTTGTTTGGCTGCTGGGGATACAAACAGTTGTGTCCTCCTGTCTGGGATTCACTGTGCATTTATTTCACGGAGACACTCACAGGAAGGCTCAGTCTCACCAAACACACCTAAGCTGTGGAGAAAGGGAGCAAAGTACTGGATTCACCACATGCAACACTGGCACCTGTTCACAGTCATCTTCCTTGATCTATGGAAATAATTTGCTTTGCTCCTCAACTGTCTGCAGGTCAACCAGACCTGTGAAGGACTTACAATACCAAAAGAAAAAAGACCTGGGTTTACCTGGAGCAAATGCGTCTGGAATAACCAAACCCTCATTTAATTACAGAGAGTGGGAAGAGCACGACTGTAATTTAGTGAGGATAATTTCAAGGCACTGCCTGACACAGCGTTCTTGTGTTGCATTTCTTCTCTTTTTATTATATGGATAGTTAACTTTTTCTCCTCCTTACATCCTATTTTTAAACTCTGGTGTGCTGGGGGTGGGGTTTTTTTCTGTTTACATTACCAGTGCTGCATCTCATAATAAGTCTGCAGATTTATTGATGTGATTTAAGTCCAGCTTTGGAAATAAAAGGGCACTGTGTGGCTTCTTTGACTTATTATAGGAATCCTGCAAGTAAAGAAGTCATGCGCTTTTCCATTATACACTCCATTTCCAGAGATATATGCCACAAATACATGCACCTCAGCACACACGGTTATCACCTGAGCAACAGAGGAGTTCAAAAGCACTTATAAATTTGGATTGTAATGCAAGTTATTTTTAATGTGCAAACAAGGAAAAATAATGCCTTTGCAGTTTAAGCATTTACT